TGCGATAAGGACACTGCCTTTATACATGGTGTACCCTTTGTACCCACTGATCAACTGGGCGCCCTGAATGCAACTCTTTCACATGGAGTGTTTTCATATTGCTGTATTGCTACTGTTACTGATCTGATCTTAACTTACCAAGGCAATCATGTTGCTGTGACCCATTGCAGTAATGAAGCTCCAGCAAAAGTCCAGTCAGGAAGACAACACTTTTTCACTCCTTACACACATGCTCACGCTCTATCTCCGGCTGTGAATGTATAGGGCACTGTCAGTCCAGTCATCAGCTGTTCTAAAGCTGAACCACACTCAACCAACAGAACAGTGAGACACCCTCTCTGTCAGCCTATCATCTTACTGCTCCTCATTTTAAATATGGTTCTTTTTCTGCCTGTACTCCTTTCATGCTGCTGCTTTGTGTACCCTCCACCTTCCATCACCACTTAGTCCTCTCTATAATATATATTGCCCCCCCCAGTAATCTTCAAATATGCTAAAAATGTTAGAATACCCAGAGAGGGGGGTGCATGGCAGATTTGGTCCATCCCAATCTTGACTCCATGGTTGCAGTCCTGCTGTGACTGCCACTCAGGAACAATGTAACCGACGTCAAATTTCCTTTCAAAAAAAATCAACCTACAGTTGAGTACAACAACACAATAAATCCAGATTATCAGCAGCAAAATATAAAACACTGCAGATTATTTTTTCCTAAATTCAGAGGAAGCTCTTAGTGTCCAGCCCTATTTCAGAAGCAGCAGGTTCTCATCATGATTATTGTTTGGGGTTTCTGAGTCATACTCAACTGTTCTTCTATAAATGGCAGCTACAATCCAGGCACTGAAAAACAACTGTATAACATCCCATTCTTTTTTATTGATGGGTGTTTTAAGAGCTGGAAATTACACATGCTTGAAAGTGAAAGGTCCAGGTCCCCCGGGGACGCTGAACAGGATGAGCAGATTAGAAAATGGACAGTAGAACAATAGAAGACATCATGTAAATGCGTTACCCGAGAAGTTAGTTGAATCATATGATGACATGATTTCCTGAGAAGAGACTGGAGTAAAAAACAAGTTGTCCAAAACTGAGTCATTTTCCACAGAGCCTGCAGAGGCATTAACAAGTGTTCAAGGGGTCCTGACTGTAGCCCTGAGGGGCACCACCAGGGGGCTCTGGTTTCAAGGCCAAGTGCAGCCAGGGGCAATTAATCACCAGGATGCCACACTTTTCACATCTCAAAGTTAAGCATCAGAGCGAGGTTTGTTTCGACACTGGGGGAAACACATGTGAAACTGGGGCTTTATGGGTCCTCTGCCATAAAATGAGCATCAAACATTAAATTTCCTGCATTTTGGTGAGTTTTTATGCACCAATCTGTGCCTTTTCTGCATCAGTTTATAGTGTAAATTTCTTTAATTTTGTCCTCTGCTTCTTTCATGTTTGTAAAGGAAGGACAAATGCACATGTTCTCAGCACTGAGGAGGACATGTCCTCTGTGTCCCCCTTAAAAATCTGCACCTAAGCATCAGACTTCAATATCCCCACACCTTAACGACTCACTGATATATAAAAGTGTGTCCACACAGTGAAGGTCGAAGCACCCTCTGAGCAAACATTAACATAACCTTGCGATTCAATGATAAGAGCTCATCAGGCATAACAATGAATGTAAAAGACTTCAATTTTGTTTTAAATTCCGAGAATATATGAGTCATTTCCCTCTAAATTCCTCTGCTGGCACATTTCCCACGACTCCTCTCAGGACCACACAGCGAAAGCTCCCGCTGCTGCTACAGGAGGTTTTTACCATTTAAATGAAGTCATCTCAAAGGCCTTTTTCCTCAAGCTGCAATAATAAGCTGCGATCTGGATGTCGCAAACATGTCCGCTCCCTTGTGTTTCACTTCATTTCACCTGGAACAAAACTGGTGTTTCGCAGACACTGTGACAGATGCGTCGTGTAACCCTGACCGTTCAGGAGAGGGCATTTGTTTGTTTGACAGTGTGTGTCCTGAAAAGGCAAGCAAGTCTAATGGGATTTAGCCGGGGGAGCCGACGACTGTGAATTCTCCATTGTATACATTTCCACCTCCAGTCTGCTCGGTGGACACACAGCCCTCCTGGCTGGCATGTCTCTGTATGTTAGCCGTGACCCAAAAGGTCTGCCTTGTTTCTAATTTCCTCTGTTTATTATATTTCTTTGTATCAAAGACTCCACGCTTCACAAGACCACCGTGGAAGCGGCAATCAAATGTGGACAACGAGACAAAATACCCAGCTTTTACAGACAAAACCTCAAGGGGTGAATGAGTGTGTATGAGTATGAGTGTGCGTGTGTGTGTGTGTGTGTGTGTGTGTGTGTGTGTGTACGAACGAGAGAGGGATTCCACAATGTGAAGTGCTGACATCTGCTGCAGGCCCTTGCAGGGCTGGAATGTGATACTCTCCTTTACACAAAGGGCCTTGGCCCTTGCAGCAGGCACAAGAAGACCTCTATATGCCCCTCTCCACGGGGGCAACACACGTATGAAATGACTGTATCACTGCCCCATGCCTTCTTTTCCCAGCCATTAACTCTGATTAAAACCACAAAACCTTCCTTCATACCTTGATGCTGGGGAGATGGCTGCTCTGCTCTCTCTTTGAGGTGGTAGTTTCTGAGCTATGTGAGACTGGGGGTAAATTGCTGCAGCATTGCATCATGAGTCTGGCTCAATGGGTTCAATATGTCTCCGTCTCTCCTTTGATTGTTGTGTCTGTGCTGCAGCAGACTTACCATACAGTGGGGGGATACACTGGTGAATTTTGCCAACAATAGAAATGGGAGGAACCACATGAAACACAGTTGATGAGGTACAACAGTGTGCCGGGCAGAAAGGAAATTGGGAACAGGAGGGAGTATTGTTCCAAGCGGTGTCTCTGCTTTGATATGACAAATTGAGAAGCTCTTAAACATTTCCTTCCACAGAAACATTTAGGCAGAATGCACAACAGCGTGTTGAGGAGTCTTGTGTGGGTACACATTCATCTTTCATCTCTCTATGGGGAAAATGAATCGAGGCTTTAAACAATCACTCCATTACAACGAGCTTACTTAGACTTATTTTCTTGTGGAAAGTTTCCTTTTGAATGATGAAGCTCCTGATGTGGATATGGACTGTGGACTTCATTGTTTAACCATGTATATGTTATAATTTTGATGAACCATGATGCACTGGGCAAAAAATGTAAGCAGGCTGCAGGGGCCAGAATGATGTAGCCTAACAGAAAAACTAAGGAGAAGATATTTATGAACATGAATGCAGAGGGAGTGAATGTGAAACACACAGTAGCATTTTTTATTTTTCCCCAGATAGACCAAATTGTCACAACAGAGCTTTCGTTTATACTGACATGTGATGAAACTCTCCAGAAAAAAACCTGATTCAAGTCATTTAAAATAATAGGTTGAATTTTGTCAGTTTTGGTGTGACTTGCAGAGTGTTGGAGGTATCAGCTGTAGAGATGTCTGCCTTCTCCCAAATATAATGGAACTAGATGGCACTTTGCTTGTGGTGCTCAAAGTACCAAAAATATATATTTAAAAAACTCAGCAGCAATGTATCTTTACAGAAATCATGACCTAGGAACTATTTTCTTTCTACCAGATTCCACTCAAGGAGGAGTGCATCTACTCATGGATGAGAGGCTGGTGCTCATGACAGCGTGAGATGTAAACATTAATGGCGCCCCCCCTTGGCTGAGCTGTAAGTTTAGGTAGCTTAGTGGGTATAGGCATGGGCAGATTGTGAGTAAATGGGCCCCTGGGCATAGATATGCAAAGGGCCCCACCACCTCTCCTACACAGGAGGAAGACACAAAGATTTTTGGCTGGTTTTGTATCTCTTTGTAGTTGTTATGCATCTTTTGGTGGTTTTGTGTCTCCTTGAGGTAATTTTGTGTCGTATTGAAGTAATTTTATTAATTTTTTGTAGTCATTTTGTGTCTCTTTGTGGTTGTTTTGCCTGTTTTTGTATTATTTTGTATCTTGTTGCAAGTCCTTTGCATCTCTTGTAGCATTTTCATGTCTCGTTGTGGTCATTTTGAGTCTCTTCCTGCTCAGTTGGTATTAATTTGAGTGACATTTTGCACGTGAAGGCCAAAAGGGCCCCTGGTAGGCCCGTAAAGTAATTCATCCATGGTGCTAGGTGAGCTAGCAGTAGATACATGCTTCTCTGCACTGTGATACGGTTGGTGGGGGTAGTTTGGTAGAATCAAAATAGTTCCTACGTGCACACAACAAGGTCTGTAGATTATTTTTGAGTAACCAGGTGACGATTACTGGAAAGAGACATTGCTGTCGAGTTTTTCAAATGGATTTATTTGGTGCTTTGAGCACCACAAGCTGAGTGCCATCTAGTTCCATTGCGTTGCAGAGAAGGCAGACATCTCTACGATCTATATCCCCAATAATCGCCAACTCACACCAAAAAAATAAAATGAATTAAAAAATGTAGACTGATAAACAGCACTATAAGTAAGAGGAAAAATATCTGGTCTGATTTGGGGGTGAACTGTCCCTTTAAAACGATATTATGAAGCATTTTGTGACACAGTGCTGAATTTTGTTTCTAATTTCACTGGTTTCAGCAGTTGTGGTCAGGTTATTCTGGAAAAAAAGGCCGTTCAAGTTTTTGTACTGAGCTCCAAAAATGTTCATCCACATTGATTTAATCTTGTGTTTGAGTGTTAAAAGTGTTTTTCTTCTATTGCAGAGGAAACTGTCTGCACAGTTATTTTAAGATTTACTTTGTATCAGTGCTCTCCTCCTCATAACACACTGTGCAGAACTGCTTTACTCATCATTATCTGGAAACGCTGACACTTTTCCTGGAAATTACTGGAAACGTGAAGCTGTTTGCAACATGTGGAATTGCATCTGGCAATTTGCTGCTGAAAGTGGGTGAAACACCTCATTGGCGCAGGCAGCAACGGAATAGTTAACATGCCGGGGAGTTTCCTCGGCTGGGAAGTTGTACTTTATGTATAGCACCTGTTGTGCCGTCAGTTGGCAGTCTCCAAAAAACCCAACCCCGGCCGCGCAGCGATATTTTATCTCAGTCTCCACCAAGTTATGAGTCAAGACCTCGCCAGACAACAGAACTCGTCTCGGTGTTGGGAATGGTCTCTGGGTACAGACTGTATCAGGTTGCTGGGCTCTCTCGCTGTCTCCGTGTGTGAGCTTTTGCTGTAATGCGTAAAGATCAGCGGGGATTTATTCAGACGGAGTCAAGAACGCACCGTGGACGCGCGCTTTAGCCAAAATGCATCTGCGCTTTCCTTACGATCTCGTACCATAGATGATATGCCTGCACACGGACACTTTTACAACTAACTCCAGGATTATAATCACTTAAAACTTTGTCCAACTCCAACTTTCCTCAGAACCAACAGGTGCGCACTTGCATTACGCAGAAGCGGCGAGGTCTGCAAGCTTTGGAGGAGGATTTGTCTTGATTTAGGGAGATATAAATTTCACTTTTTTTCCAGAAGGACTGATGAATAAGATTATGTGGATTCTACTCTGCCTGTATCCTCTCCAAATGTGTCCAAAGCAGCACTGGTGTCCTGTAAACGACGCATGTGTGTGGTGATACAAACCATCCCGTCTACAGCGCTTTGTGATCGCCAACCACCACTCATCCAAATGATCCTTCCATTAATATTCCTTCTTGCATCGCTTCTCCAACAATATGGCTCGGAAGCTGAATCAAGTCATGTCAGCAAATTTAACACTCCAAGCGTGAAGGAGCAAAACGGTGAGTTTCCATCGCTATTTGTAACATTCAGAAAAAGTTATTTAATTGAACATAAACTTCAGTATTTCTCACGCACATATAACGACATGCTTATTCTCACTGGGCTCGGAGCCATTCTTTTAAAAATGCACATCTTGCTTGAGTTTAAACTGCAATGAATGAGAGCGTTTCATTCAGTTTAAACAGCATTATCCAGGATAGGAAGTGCAAAATTACCTTTTGCCTTTAAAGTGTACCCGTGTATGTTTAAGGGGGAAAACCCTCCGAAATTTCAGGTCCCCCGGGGGAAGTTTTCCCTGTGATCATAAAAAAGGCTCCATTCATGCAGCAGTAGCTCCTGGCGATGTAATTTGCTCACCCCCAGAGCTGCACTGAGCTGCACTATCAAATTCACAGATCCAGTTCTGCCCATGTTTAATGTTAAAGTTGATGCTGTATCTGCTTTGAGTTGCATCAAGTAAAATAATTTCCCTCCGGTGATACTTCATGCCATCATGGGCAGTTTGTCCTTCTTTGTTGTTGTAGCGTGTGTTGGCGCGCGTGTGTGGGCGCGAGCGTGTGTAGTGGGGAGCCCAGGGCCATCATAAACAATAGATTTTGATTTTCCAAGGATGCACTAAGTAGATAAGTTAAGAACAACTTTTTGGTTGCTATCCTCCTCCAGGCACTTGTTTTTTTGTGTTTAAAACTCTTCAGACTGACCCATGCAATCATAGGTGTAGATTTCTGGGGGGATGCAGGAGACACGTACCCCTCAGTATTTACAACATGTGCATTTGTTCACTCCAAGAATAAAAATTAAAGTAGCAGAGGGCATTACAAAATTAAAGACATTTACACCATATGTTAATGCAGAAAGGGCACAAATTGGTGCATAAAATTCAGTTTTTGATGCTCATAAAACCCCCCTTTTCATATGTGCTTCCCCCAAATGTTGTAACAAAATCTACCCCCCTGCATCTTGCATACAAAAGACTATCAGAAAACTTTGTGAGTTCATGTCAGTATACTGATAATAACTTCATTTTGGACAAGATGTCCCACAACTTCTTTTCAGAAGTTTAGTGCATTGGATGGGTCCTCCTGATTAATTTAAGAAAGACAAAGGACGCTAAGCTTTAGGAGGATTTTCCAAAATGTTGAATCTGAAAAGTTCTTCCTGTAAAGCATGAGATAAAACAAGTGCAATCAATGGTCAAACTTTTGTATCAGACTGGCATATCAACAGAGATTTACACAAGAACACAAAGACACAACAGGACCTCACAGGGTCCAGTTCAAAGTAACAGCATGCCTGCACCCTGCAGATGTTGCACTGGTCAAACTTCATTCATTACTCAGCCCTCTAAAGCCAATGGCTTTGACTGGCCTTGTGTGAGGACATGCAGCGCTGACTTCACTACAGTAACAGTCAGGGCTGGGAAATCAGAGCCTCCCGCTGGGATCTCCAGGTTTAATCAGGACTGGCTGAGAAAGGAAAACAACAGTGAGGAGAGAGGGGAGGGAGGGGAGGTGGGGGTGAAGGAGGTGGATGAGGAGGGGCGGGAAGTGTCGGGTGGAAAGATGTTAAACTGTCAAAGAACTCTTTGAAACAGCGGTCACACATTGGCTGAGGGCAGAGCTGGCCAGGCCGTCTGTAACCTTTGACTGGAGTGTCTGAGCGCTCACCGTTCTGGCGCGCTTGATTGCTGATGCTCTGTGAGACAATTTGATATCGATCTGAGGGAGGGGAGGGAGCCAGACCTGTCTGGCATGTTTAGTAGTAGTTGCCAGGAGAGTTATGGTCCCCAGTCGTATTAAACTTGGCAAGCGGCGGCTGATGACTCCATAAGATATCAGAGGGGGCTGTCTCCCATTGAGGGCCAGTGCTGTGTGAAGTAACCATCTGTCACAATAAATGATTTGGACAAAAGTCTCAGAAACGCTAACAGAATGGGCATGAACTCTGAAATGTAAATTTTGTGTGTTGTGGTCATAAATAATGTGAACATTTCCTTCCTCCACCGCCGAGGGTTGTATTACAATAACATGTATTGCACATGTCATTTTCATGTGTTTGCCAAATGGCTATAAGGTTTCATGGGTATTAAGAAAAAACATTGCTAGAAATGACATCTGCAGTCGCACTACAAAAATGCTTTGTATGGTTTCAGAAATGAGGGTTTAAAGCAGAGGCATGTACCCATCCACCCCAGACACCACAGTCTCTGGTTGTGTTCGCAAGTTATCCTTTTCCCTCCCTTATAATCGTTTTACAGATGATGTTTTTTGCATTTTAGAATATCAGGCTCATTTTTCATAGCGAGTGGTTACAGGCTAATGCAGTCACAGCACTGCTTCCTATGAAACTATATTTATATACAACTACTTTGCATTGGCAAATGTGTTTTGCAAGAAACTTAAAGGGTGGCTCCACTGATTTTTGGTTTTTATGTCATTATGTAGCTTTTCAGCAGTGTTCCTGATTTATTCAAATCTGAAAATTCAAGTTTTGGTCAAAGTATGTTTGTTTTAGCCTCAAAATGCTATTTTCCCAAGTCCTTCTAAAACTTTTCCCCACTTGACTTGATGTAGGTCTCTGCTAGTTGTCGTTGCTACGTATAAACCCACATACTGCTGTGGTTGCCACTAATTTGTTTCTGATAGTTACACAAACAGACAAACTAAACAACTGAGTCAGTGGTAAACCAGCAACACCCTTGTGGTGTGAGCTAAAATTATATTTGATTTATACTTCATTGAATTGACAGCATACCTACGCCATATCCTGATGTGCACCTTCCCAGAAATGTGACTAGCCTACACATCGTGGCAACGCAGACCTTCTGTCTATTTTTTATAAGCTGAAACCTTTTCCCTCAGTGGAAATGAAGCTTTTATTGACTTTCACAGATAAGACACAATAAATTATGAAAACAATAAAGCCTCCACAAAATAGCATCTAAAATGTTGTGTGTGATTTATCCTGGCTTCATATGAGCAGAGGAAATCTCCGCTAGTCACTAGGCTAATTTATACAATGTAAAACACCATAGGCTTGTGCTAATAACGTTAGCATGTTATATTTGTTTGGAAAACGTGTTTAGTATAAGACAGATGTTTTGTCTGTGAACCTTGTGAGTTGTAATGGAGCCGAATAATGTAACGTTACCTTTGTTAAATGTCGCCATTGTCTCTGGCTTCATAGGAGTAGAGGAAATCTCCGCTAGCTGCTAGGCTAATTTATACAATGTAAAATGCTATAAGCTTGTGCTAATAACGTTAGCATGTTGTATTTGTGGAGAAAATGTGCCCAGATAAAGACAAGTGTTTGTCTGTGAATGCTGCGAGTTATAGTGAAGCTGATTTGTGTTCTTGTGTTTGAAATTGTCTCTATTAAGCCATGTTTTATGTGTGTTATCAGTGTGTTTTGAATCAACTTAACTTTACAGCACTTTACAGAAAACCCAAGTATGAAGTATAAATGCTAACAGCGTAGGCCATGTGAGTAGGCTACGGCGTAGGCTACGGCGTAGGCTCTGCATAGAGGTGACGCACAAGTATAAATACGACTTTACTGTTTCTGTCACGGAGCCTGGTGGCTTTGAAAATAGCGTAGACAACACAATAGACAGCAGGTTGTCAAACTGCCCCCAACTCATCCTAAGATATGCCTAGAAACAGCTATCATTGTGGTGGTTCTCCTTGTGACCCACCCTCTTTTTTAGGGTTTCATGAACCCACACAGATCTCCATTTCCCTGTGCCCAACAAACTATTTGCTGACAGCCTCTCACCCTCAGCCAGAGCTACAGCAAGTACCCTCTGCCTCAACATTTTAGGAACTACATACTAATTATTACTAATTACAGTGAAATAAATAGTAAATAAGAATAATAATAAATGGTAGATTGATTACACGGGAAGGTTCAGGTGAGGAGGTGATGGTGTGGTTGCCTGGCAACGATAAAAAGGCACAGGGGAGTTGACATTTGAAATACACAGAAAGAAATGTAAATGGACCTGCCTCATAATGACACATAGATTAGGTTTTAGGCTGGGTTCAGTATTAAAAAAGCCAAGTGTTTTGACTTTTTCAATATTTAACCAAATCCACAGTCTGTGTCTTAAGAGAGTGTTTTAGTTGCCTAGCAACATGTGATGCAGGACCTGATCCACAGACAGCATTATGTTTCTTCCAGGAGGCATTTGTAAACGCAGATTAATGGTATATAAATGTATTTCTTGGGAGATAGAGTTGTGATTTGTTACAGCATTTATAGTCTGTATTTAATAGAGTGGCATTTTTAGAGGAGGTTCAATCAATGTTGTTCTCCCGTCTAAGTAAATGGGCTCAGACATATCACAATAAAGCTGTGGCTGCACCTTGTCTTCAGGCTTATTAACTAACGGCCTATATAAGCTTGTTTCATTACACTGAGATGGCTTCTGCTCATGCCACAGTGTTTACAATGCCTTCTTCCATTAGGCTGTGATTTGCTGGCAGAGCCGACAGTTGTGTAACACTGCGCATCCAGCAGAAGATGCATCTTAGCTTCTCCAATCATGCAGGTCATCTCGGGGGCCGCCTCTTCATATCATATCTCTTAGTTAAGTGGTCTGGCTGCACTTTCCTGTAGAAGGCCACCGAGCCCACCTAGCCCACCCATGAGCAAAGGTCTGGGTGTTATTAGAAAAATCCAGCTACAATATTAGTAGGAGATGTGGATTACCTGCAGATATTCCCACATATCCCCCTGAGCACCACTGGAGGAAGGTATGCAACGCGCTAGACCTGCCAATGATCACAGAGGCTGCTGTTCCGCTAAAGATTATGAGATTAGGGGGCAGACTGGGGTCATAAGGGTCACAGGCCCATGGGGAGCATGTGCAGCTTTCTGTGTACACATACATGGAAGTTGAAGGTACAGAGGTGCTTTGTGCATTCATTAGATTATGATGCAGAAAAACACGCAGTTTATAGAGGGGACTTAAAAACAGGAAAGAGAGTGGGTGGCCTTT